TAGTTGCTTTGTGACTAGTAGAACGCTGTGTGGGCTATTTTGCCGCCTACGTCACTGAGCTTCACCGTGTTGACCACCGGGCTCTTCCCAGGAGTCGACGATTTTTGTGTTTCTAATGTGATGTACAGCTTTGACTTGTCTCTTTCGTGTGATCGGTCAGTGTGCTGTGTGCTGCCAAGTGCAGTCATTGTTTACTTCCATCAACTAGCTCTGCAACCTACTAGGCGATTGTACCTAGAAGAGGTGGCGGTGTGTTACTCGAATGAAGTGTTGACATGTGAGAAGGCTTTGAAGACCGTCGTGAGCAGGAGTGCGGTGGACGGCTAGTGTGAGGGAGCTTGAGTGGAAAGAGAGTTTGGAGAGACGAAGATGAGTGACGGATCAGGAGAACGGAAGTCCGACGAGGGGACATCGAAACCCCCTGTGGACAGTCGGAAATGTTTCAAGTGTGGCGAAGCTGGGCATTATGCGAGAGATTGTGCCGAATTCTGGCAGTCTCGGGCGTTGGGACGAGCGTTCGTACCAACACCATACGTACCTGGAGGACGACGTATGGGTAGAACGACGACTCAGGAGAGCAGTATGCGGAGGAGTCGGTCGGTGGAAAGCGGTGGTGAGTGCGAGCGAACGGATCCCGACGACACAAACACGTTGATGAGGGAATATTTACTGCAATTAGCGGAGGAAAGGAGGGAGAGAATGGAACGGGAAGCGCAAGATGAACGGATGAGGATCGAGGAGGCCGCTCGTTTGGAAAAAGAAAAGAAAAGGTTGGAGAGGCTGCGGGAGAAACAACAATACGAAGAAGACAGGGACGCTCGCTTGTTAATCATGATAGACGCTAAGATACAGAGGGACCAGGAGGAGAGACGGAACCGCGGTGAGGTTGTGGGAAAACAAGGGAAGAAGGTGAACGAACTAGGAGAGCCCACTGAAGAAGAGAAAGAACGGTTGAGGAGGACGCTAGCATTACACGAGAGCTTCCAGGCTGACGAAGAACTGCTATTGGTAAGGAAACAGGCGGCCGGTTTACGGATCCATGAGAGGATCGAGAAACGGAAGCGGGGGAAGGAGGTAGCAGTCGAGAATAGTCCTCCGATGATTACTCCGGAGAAGAGGTCGAACATGGCCCTGTCCGATGAGTCGAGGAGGAGAATCGAGGAGCTACGGAGTGCCCCGCCGGGGGAACCACAGACTTCATCGACGCCTCGAAGGATCGACTTGACGCTGAAGCACATTTCGGCCTCCTGCGGACCTGGTGGGAAAGAAAGGTACGAAGCGGAGGTCCGGGAGTTTTATGGCGCGCCGACGGTGGAGGAGCTCAAAGAGGTGTGTAAACGCGAGAAGGTGAATTACGACAAACGTGAGATCGCAATCAAGAGATTGGTGATACAGAGGGTAGCCATGGCATACGATGCGGTGTATATACCCTTGCCGGCTACACCGAAGATGACGACCCGGAGCGCCAAGGCTGCGTCGGAGAATGTGAAAGCGGAGGACACGTCAGAAGATTCAAGTGAGACTGAAGAAGACGAAGGGTGAAATCGTATCAGTGTAGTTGGATTACGTGAGCTAGCTATGAGAGTGTGTGCTCGGAGACAATTAGATGGAGGAAGGAACAAGTCGGATGATAGGCTACTTAGACTCATTACGATTAAGTTGGCAATAGTTGGAGGTTTGCGGTGGGGGGAGAAGTTTACCAAGTATTGGCGGAAGGAACTGGTAAGAGGGCGCCTGGATTTGAATGACCCTGGCGGTTGTGTGTACGTGCTGATTTCACCATGGTTTAAGCAGGTGTATATCGGCATGACTGAGATGTGTTTGTGGGCAAGATGGCGGGAACATTCCTGTCAAGGCAGAGGCGGGGGTGACAAACGGCGACGGACACTATACAACTGGCTCGGGAAGGTTGGCGCGCAGAAGTATGTCGCCATTCCGATCTATTTCAGCAGCGAGAGGTGCGAGCTCGAAGTCGTGGAGAGTACTTTGATCAAACTATGGTCACCGAGTCTCAATACCCGATATACTGGAAGAAAGAAGACTTCAAAGAAGGGGAACAGGCGGTCGGGGAAGAGGGAACGGAGGAGGAATCGAGGGGGTGATGATGAGGAAAGGGTGAAGAAGAAAGAAGGGAGGAAGGAACATGAAATCGGGAGAATCTTGGAGATTCATAGAGTAGGGGAGGAGAAGGGGTCTATGGGAATTGTGCACCTTCTGAGAGAAGTGAGGGAGAAACAACCGAAAGAAGAAGTCAAGTTGGAAAGTAATGGTGGGAATGTATGGGCAGATGGGTGGAGGCTAGTTTAGAGACTATTCGGAGAGTCAAGAGCGAAGTGCGGAAAGGGGACTAAGCCATTGAGAAAATGTAAGTGACTGATTGAACAGGGGGGTCTGTTAACAGTCAAAAAGATTACGGAGGCTTCCGCAGCAGTCCTGTACCTCCGAGATCAGATGGTGGGCATGTTTAAGAATCCAGCACGGAAGAGCTCCCTGAAGAAGATGAGCCTTGGTGCACTGGTAAAATACTACAGTTCGATCAAGGCATTTAAATTTCTACTAAACGTAGCAGATCTAAGGCAAGGTGCATGATTTTAAGGGCTATTAGAGATGCACATGGACTGAGTGTTAGGCAGCGGATCATCGTGAAGGTCGAGTATGACTAGAGAGTGAAGAAGAGTGAGGTCACGAGAGTAGTGAGGAAGAAGATAGGTGGTTTGGAAATCGAGAGTCCTTTGAAGGAGATGATAAAGTGAAGAGCGCGTGTGGTTTGGACTAAGTGCCCTAACGTGGGAGAGCTAATCCATAGCCACCGACGTTATGCGTCTCAGCGTGATGCCAGCTGTACTTGTGCTGGTATGCCCTATCCACGAAAGGAAGGGCACATGCATTTTCGCCTGAGTGACCTCGAGGAGATTCCTGGTATTGCGAAGAACGCTAAGAATGTACCGCGGCACGAGAAGAAGGAGAGGAGGGAGAATTTGGTGAAAGAACTTAAGGAAGCTTTCATTTCCTTTGAAGAGAGAGAGCACGAATTTCGACAAAGAAGATTTATTTCGGCCTGGAAGGTGTTAAGCGGTGTATGACGGAGCCGATCTCTCGGGAGATGGATTGCAACCTTGAAGTTGTCACAGAGCTAAAACGAAGGATGCAGGGACTGGTGATATCGCCTTTGGACCGAAATCCAGGCGAGACACTAGCCCTTTGTCCTTTGCTGTATGCACGAGGCATGTAGGCTACGTTCTTGACTAACGAAGGATATGTGAAGTGTGAAGAAGAGGAGGTGGTCGTGTTGCATGAGGCGGGGGTGGAATACGAGCGAAGGCAGCTTGTTGAACATGCAAAATGGAACGATGGGGGTAAGATAGGGTAGGCGTATGCGCTTCCGAAACATAAAGATACAGGGAAGTTTCGGCTCATTTGCCCCACTTTCAACGAGCCTTCTGTGGTGGCGTGTCGGAAGGTTTCACAAGTTGTTAATTGTCTCTTATTTGCACTGCCCGAGTCCGGTCGTTTCACCCTTTAGTCAGTCTCACTAATGAAAGAACGACTCGAGCGAATTAATATGAAGCTGAAAAGGAGTAGCGAGAGCGTTAGGGTCGTGGGGGCATCGTACGATATTAAAGATATGTTTAATAAACTCCCTCACGACACCATTAGGAAGGCTGTTGAGTGGTGTTTTTGGTGGTTTTCACAACGAGGATATGATGGGGTGTTTGTCAAGAGGGTGGGACGGGGTGCTCGACTGAGTAAGAGTAAAAGATTATTGAAGGATTTGTAAAGATATCCTTTCAGTATATTTTCAATTTTGTTTCGTTTGAATTGGACTTTTGTTTTACCCGGGCATCTGACGTCTTGTTAAGACAGATAATTGGCATACCAATGGGGAAGAGCACGAGCCCCCCATTGGCATGCCTGATATGTGTAAAGGCAGAGTGGGATTTTTTACTCACGCTGGGGAGTCAGAGAAGATTGGTGGGGGGGTTGAGATTTGTTGATGACGCCTCCATATTTGTGGCATACAACGTGAGGAGGAAAGGATCTAAGGAGGAGGCTCTGGGATTGATTGGGAAATTTGAGAGCTGCTATGATGAGGCACTCACACTTAAGCGCACAGATGAGGGCGAGAATTATTGGACGTTCCTCAGTTGCAAGTTGAGGATCGAGGACGAATTTCCCTTTGTTGGTGCCATGCAGAAGATGAAAAATTAGGAAGGGCTCAGGACTGGCACTGCACTGTCCTTCCAGGTGTTTCAGGACTTTCGTTCATCAACGAACAAGAAGGCCAAAATGGTGGTCATTATCAATGCACTACATCGAATCCATCAAAACTCCATGGAAGGCTTTGAAGTCCTCAGTACCCTGGTTCTTCTTCGGATTGAGTTGAGAAAGAGACACTATCCGGACGATTGGTTCGGACGAGCGCTCAGGAATTCCACCAAGGATAAGAGTGGGTGTTGGAAGATGTTTGCAATTTTGTTGACGGATAGCAGGATCATGTGTTGAGTTGTGTGAGGGATATATGGACCAGGGATGACCCTTTTGCAGCCCTTGTGCCGTAGATAGTAAGCTTGTTTACTTTGACGTTTTTTTGGATCTGTAATTTGTAATGATGTGTATAAGAGACAGGACCAGGGATGACCCTTTTGCAGCCCTTGTGCCGTAGATAGTAAGCTTGTTTACTTTGACGTTTTTTTGGATCTGTAATTTGTAATGCGTTTTTAGAGTAACCGAACGAGGACACGAACTTGGGATAGTTAGACGAAGAGGCCTTGAATTTGCCGATGTGTTTGCGGTCCATCGGAGTCGGGCTTCGAACCGGGTACCTTCGATAGGTAGATGGATGGATAGGTAAGTACCTGTATAGGAATATATGTTTTTTTCTCGTGGAAGTATCGGGTCGTAGAATAGGACAGAGGGGATGGTACTTGGTACGGAGCTGCGTCGAGTAGACGATGGGGTGTCATGGTACTAGTTTGAACCACATAAGAGTAGAGTCTGCGTCGTTTTCGGTCCTTCTGTCCTTTTGGACATCGTCGCGGCCAAAGACCGCGGGGCGTGTTGCTAGTTGCTTTGTGACTAGTAGAACGCTGTGTGGGCTATTTTGCCGCCTACGTCACTGAGCTTCACCGTGTTGACCACCGGGCTCTTCCCAGGAGTTGACGATTTTTGTGTTTCTAATGTGATGTACAACTTTGACTTGTCTCTTTCGTGTGATCGGTCAGTGTGCTGTGTGTTGTCAGGTGCAGTCATTGTTTACTTCCCTTTGCTTCCAACTACTGCCTCAGGGTCACATGGACATTCATTACCCAAAATATATATATGTTTTTTGCCCTGGCCGGGCAAGTGGTCCCAGGCCACTCTGGTAGTCTTTGAAAAAAAAAAAAAAAAAGAGGCAAGAGGCTCACTGATACATGCTTGATCGAGCGATGTATATGGAGCCAAAGGATCCGCAAAGTGATGAAAAGGACTCAAATGGACAATGCATCATCAGCGAAGCATCAACGAGCAATGTACATCAAGATACATACAAAAATAGCACAATGTAGTGCAGCGGAAGACTCAAAGATATGACCTAACCTGTCGGATACTGACACAACTCGTCACATCACACACCACACATGTGAGAGAGAAGGAGGGACCGCATGCATAGAAGTAAGGTGCTTCCTTTGATACGCACATGGGGAGATACCACGGATGAGGTGAGGGAGGAAGGGCGAGATGAAGATGGAGATGAGGACCCTTCAAAATAGGAGGAAAGATATACCAAATACACACAGCCAACAAGTTCCCTCCGTGGTGTTTCAAATGTCGTGTGTATGGCCATCTCAGCACAGAAACTGCCTGCCCCCAACACCCGGCCAAACGCACACACCAGGACTGCCACCTGCAAAGAGACCCACACCGCAGCAAAAGATGGCATACAACAAACCCCAGACATGAAGTGTGGGTCTACATTGATGACCTGAGCCAGCATGGCAACCCCAAGGAATGGACCTGGGAAGGGCGAGGCGACCCACGCAGATCCATAAAACCGTCAGCGGAATGGAAACCACCACTGCCACCCAACCCCACCGAGATGGGCAAGGGACCACAACCAGTGAGACCCAAAAGTCCCTCTCCACCCAGGGGACAGGCGGAGGCAGCCCAAGTCAGGAGGACACACCAAAAAGGTCTGCAAGACCCAAAAGGGACCTGGAAGCTGGGACCAAAGGTGGGCAACTATTTGCCCAAGGAAGATCCCTCATCAGTCAAAAGACAGGAGCTGGGACAAAGCAGGTGAAAAAGGGACAGGGTGAGGGGATAAGGGACCAATACCAAAACATAGAAAACGGGCGTTCCCCTTGGGTGACAAAGGGGACGTGGGACAGGAAAAGGACATCGCAATGTCGACAGTTGCGGAAGAGGAGCATGAGGGACAGGAGAAGAAGGGAGGACAAAAGGATAAGGGTGGGCCCACTCCGATGGAAATAGACCCCCTCAAAGAAGCCCTCGGCACGGATCCAATGGATGTGGACCCGGTCCCAGGTGCCCCTAGAACACAGCGGACCAGAATGTAGCAGGGGAAACGCACAACACCGACCTGGAAGAAGTGGCAGAGTGGCTTCTAGATAGCTTGCGCAGAAGGTTCAATGGGTTCCCAGAGAGCTTCTGGGATGACGCATACTGACAGATGGTCCAAATGCTGGAAAGCAGCGATAGTCTCATAAATGTCATGCCTCGGGGCCTCCCAGGCGAGGGTGATTGGCACCTGACGTCCCACCGCATACTCGTGATAGTAATCACGCGGTTCATCCCTGGGCCAGCTGAACACAAGACCCCAACCGAAAACAGCAGGGGGCACTGTCCACTGTCGAGAATCACGGTGGAACAGCAAACAGTTCAGAACACTCGGAACAAACAGGGACAGACATTATTGAATCTGAACATGAGTGCCGGGAAGAGGGTTCCCACAGGAACTCAGACTCGGACAACAGGAGAAGGGGAGAAAGAGGAAATACAGACCCCGAAAAAAAAACAGCACAGGCAACTACGGAGGGGGAGAAGAACGGGAAGGAAAATGGAAAATGGGAGGGGCAAGAGCAGACGGGCAAGGACGGAAAAAAAGAAACAGGGAAAGAGACAGCAAGGAAAGAGAAAAGGGAAGATGGGTGACATTGTTTAAAAGCTGGAAACAGGTAGCACAACAAAAGATTCAAATCTCATAACAGAGTCTGTCAGAGGACGCTCCCCACCGCCACCTGTGTTTCGCCCTACCAGTCTGGCCGGCAGGTGACAACCACCCGAAAGATCCCTCAAATAATCTCCACCCTCCCCCATCCCAATACCTGCAACCATCTCCCCCTGA